TAGCAATTTTCCTCCCATGAACTATTTGTGTATTAGTTAGTTCGATACAAAACTTGAGATAATGGGTGTAAACCGAAATAGGATTCATAAGTAGTTGTTAATGGAGTTGAGGTTGCAAATTCTGAGGTGTCGGTATCAATTTATGCCGAAGTGCTCCACATATAGTCCCCCGAACCACATTTTCTAAACGAACCAGAGCCAATCCGAATTGATCTTGTAAAAGATCTGCTACAGAACGAATACGCTTATTTTTCAAATGATTCATATCGTCAAGTGCACCCATTCCAAATTTCAGCCCAATCAAATGATCGGCGGCTGCCAATATATCTCGTGGTAACAAAAATGTATTGTTCTGGGGTATATCAAGGTTCAGTCTTCGGTTCATATTTCGTCGACCAATCCTTCCTAATTCACATATCTGTTAAAAGAATTTCTTTTGTAATTCCTTACATAAGGATTCAGAAAATACCGGATCGCCACCTACACACGCAAATTGTTGATAAAACTCCAAAATAGCATTTTCTTTTGACCCAATTTTTTTTTCTCCTTATCACTCGAAAAGACAAAAATTTCAGGATATGTTATTCTTTAGAATTTCTCTTAGATTCAAACCCATAGCTGATGATAGAACTAGAATAGATATTTTGTTTCCTACTGCGACCCATATCCTTGCTTTTCTATCAATTTCTAATTCTGATCTTCCTCCCCAATCTGATATTATGGTGCCGGTATAGACCGAAATTCCGTTATGGTCCAATTCTGATCGGTAATAAATACCGGGACTTTGCAATATTTGATTGATCACAATCCTATATTCCATTGACTATAGAAGTTCCCAGGGAATTCATTAGAGGAATGTTTCCGATAAAAATTGTTTGTTCTTGCATATCCCTACTGTTTTTCCAAATTAATCCGGCGGATACATATAATTCAGAAGAATATGTGAGTGATTCATACACAGCATCTCTTTCTTTTATCAAGGGTTCATTAATTGATATGTTTCCACAAATAATTGAAATTCAATTTCTTGATCTGTATCTTCAATTTTTGGAAACTTATAAGTTCTTCGTCAAACCTTGATCAATGATTTACAAAATCCTTCAAATTGTATCTGATTAAATCCAGGTATTGTAGATATTCCCTCATTTCCATCCCCGAGCATTTTTAATTTCCCATTTATCAAAAATACCACTATTGGTTCATTCTTCATCTAATTAGATAGATTAGATAAATGATCTAGCAATGATGGCATTTCTATTTTGTTTACCAAGATCCATGAAATTTTACCCAACTCCATATCTGAATGTATGAAATACGTATGAACGGAGGGAAGAAATTTTCTTAAATTGAATTGGAATTTATTGGAATTTTCAACAGATACAAATGGAAAGAATTGATAAAACATCCCCTGAGCAGACTTCTGCTACTTAGACTTATTAATTAAGTTATAGGATTTCAATGTAGAATATCAAAACAAAAATGATTCCATTTCTACCATTATTATGATAATACATATTCCAACCTGCTTGAATACCAGAAATAAATGGATTTGGACATTTGATCTTTTCGCTGAGATAAAGGCATAAAAATCCAGAAGAATATATAGAATTAGAATCGGTTTTTGGCATTAAGCCCTTTTTATGTTATGGATTTCGTTGGTCAAAAAATGATTCGCGAAAGGGCTGTTTGCAATTTTGGTGAATACGATTGTGAAGTGTATAAGAAAAGAAGGTTTGTATGGCTTAAACACGTGTGGAGATATCTATAATATCAAAGTCTTTCTTCTCTTTTATTGTTTTATTGTCGTTCTATGTTCTATTCAAAGGTGCTTACAGGTTGTGCTCTACGAAAACAGAATTGAGTACTATTCAAAATGAAAATTGAAGTATGATACTTTTCTGATATCTGATAATTCTATATCGGGAACATATAAAAATATATATATAAAATTTTAAGAATTTTTTAATTATATTAATTCATAAATTTTAAAAGGATTAATTTATTAATAATTAAAATTGAGAAGGATTTTTTGATTGAAAAAATCCATACTGATTAGTTATATATCCAAGTTGTGTTTTTCTTATGTATTAGGAAAACAAAATTTGGAAATTCAAATCAAGAATCATTCATGCATTCTAAGTCAATAGTTAATGGTTCCTATTTTCATAAAGTTGAATTTTGGATTTTGCGACTGAAAATCCACATTTGATTTTTCAATAGAAAGGTAAGAAAGTTTGAACATTATGAATTTTGAGATATAGACTCAGTAAATTGAAAGAATGAATCCAAACCCAATCAAAAAGGGAAGGATTGGGGATTTCCTTGACTTTTAGGAAAAAGTCGGGAAAACCATTTCAGGTGCGAGTACAATAAAAAGCAGTTCAGTAATCCGGGAAAGTTTTCATCTATTTTGTATTTGTAGCATTTTGGCGACATGGCCGAGTGGTAAGGCAGGGGACTGCCAAATCCTTTTTTCCCCAGTTCAAATCGGGTGTCGCCTGATCAACAAAAACTGAAATCTCTCTTCTTTTCTTCTGTTGATATAACTCGCCGAATGATTCCCAGCAGAAACCAGAAAGCAGAATATTGATACTTGTTTGATTTTAAACATCTGGTCTGGGGTTTTTCTAAAAAATTGTAAATATCCTTCATTGCATATTTAGGCTTAGGCTTCGAAATATTCGAATGCTAGAGGGGCTATCAAGACTTCACCAGTACCTTCTACAAATCAAAATTTTAGATTATTAATGCATTGTATAATGACTGGACCTTGGATTAGATTGGAGAGCCAGATAGGAAATCTAAATAGTTGTGGAAGGGGGCGGAAGATACTTTATTATATACACTAGGAACTCACGAAAATCTCGGAGTGCTCAAGCATCCAATCAATTGAAATGAGGGTCAACAAAAAAAGAATAGGACCTATTATTCCTACATGTTCCATTAGTAACATTTCCATAAGGATATTACCTGCGGATTTTACTTGTGTTTAATCTTTCCCGATTAGAAATCATATAGAATTTCTTCTAAAATGAGCGAATTTATTGGATTGGTTTATTAATAGTCTTCGTTCTTTTGACTCTGTATTGATTCCACTATTATTAGTGAGGGAATAATGGAGCAATTCCTTCTTCTTTACTTAGAGATAGGGGACATAATTCATATGGATATAGTAAGTCTTGCTTGGGCTGCTTTAATGGTAGTCTTTACTTTCCCTTTCCCATGTTAGTGTGGGGGAAGGAGTGGACTCTAGGGTCCTACTAATTGAGTTAAGGAAGCAAACTGTATCAATAGCAATTGCTTTCTAGATCGTTCTGCAACACGTTTTGAACAAAATAAAAATATCTTCATTTTGAAATTCCATTGGACTCTACTGGAGTAATGTCTTATAGGAATCATCCTCTTTCAATCAAAGAGCTATTTCAACGATTCCCGTGTTTGTAGTTCGAAAGGAAGAGGATCCCAGGAAATTTATTCGAACCTAATTCTTCCTAAATTTTCTATTCCAATCAACGGCCTCTTATCTTACTAGGTGATACTGAGGAGGGTCGGACCCTTTTTTTATTTGTTTCTCTCTTTACTGTTCAAAGAAGAAGTGGTTTTGTTAAGTGTATACGCACCTTGTATGAGAAAGATAGGATATAAACATAGTGGTTGTCTAACGAGATACTATGCAGAATAAGATCGTCAGGTGAGTCACATATTGCGCATTTACCGCTTTCGAATTTTGAAATTGGATTTAGACTTTATCGACTAATTTCATATCGTGGTTCAGGCGTTAAAATCAGTGAGGTTTTACTCTTTTCGATGCCCGTGGAACTACCGTCAATGGTTTACTCAATTACTTCTTGGGAATGTTCAAAAAAACAAGATTACTGCATTGATTTTTGAATAGGCCTATATGTATCCTTTTCCTTCATTGATTTGATTCTTTCAATAGATACCAAGATTCTAAATTGGAAATCAAAAATATAGTAATTCAAACTATAAGACATATAGAGTAATTCAGATTGATCCAGAACAAATAGATATAGCAAATAAATGGAATTGGATGCTATGGCAATCCCATATATGGAATTGATATTCACATATATCAAGATAATATTGTAGATTGATCTATAGATCCATATCAAATGCAACCTCCTATCTTTATTTTATTCAGGGCAGCTTTACTTAACTACAATCTAACTAATAAATAATATATGGTAGAAAGAAATAGATGAATCTTTCTACCATACTATCTATTAGAATACTGCCGATTCTAGTCCCACTCATTTCATTTAAGACATGAAATTGGAATCTTTTTCATTTATTTCGTCAATTTTGGCTAGAGCTTTCAGATGTCAAGTTTCATTCAAATTAGTTAATACTTAATCGTTTTGACTGACTGTTTTTACGTAAATGATAAGTAGAAAAGCGGTAGGAACTAGAATAAATAGTGCAGTAGCAATAAATGCAAGAATATTTACTTCCATAATCTCATCGGTTTTTTACTTCGCAATAACTCAAGATTTAATCCCATGAGATGATAAATCTTTGGCCTGTAAATTCAATGAATGAATATTACCTCTCGATGATCTTGAATTCGGATCAATATCATGAATAACAATATCTGAACTATCAAATCAATTCGTCGTCGAGAGGTGAATAGTATAACATAGGAAGTTCTTTTATCCATACCGCCCCAAACTCGGATTCCTGACCCAATCCAAAATTCCTTTATTTATTTATCATTATCATTTTTTATCATCTGTTCTTTTTTTCTCTCTAATCTATCTAGTTCCTTCTTGTACAATCATCTGATGAAGTCTCATCAAAATGCTCTTCCACTTCCAGTGGTCACATGATTACAAACCCAAACAAACAATAAAAGCTAATGGAAAAAAAGAAAAGAGTTTCGTTCTAAACCCTTTTTGACTTGGAAGACAAAGAAGTGTGATAAGATGAGATCGTATAAAATGAATATTCATCAAATTTACTATTTTCCGATTTGTTCTTTCGTGATGGGGCCTTAAAACAAAATTAAAAATCGGAAAAATGATTCATTCCCCGTTCTAAGAGGAGTAGGATCTTGGTTGATCTGTCCTTCCCCCTCCTTTCTTGTAGGTGTGGCCCCGGACACCTATGCAAAAGCTCAGTGTGCAATTTGCCTGAAATCAATTTTTCCCCTTCAAACTAGTAAGTGAGATTCCATGAAATCCGTAGCCAGAAAAATAAATTGTTTTTTTTTTGTTTTTCTGGAAGTATTTTCTTATATTCAATTTTGTATTGGACAAAGAAAGGAATTCCCTTTGTGTACTGCACGCCTCAAAAAGGTATAGTACTCGATTATATTACATGCATCGGGGACAATCGAAAAAAGCCAGCATTTCTTGGAATACTGCCTATAATGCTACCAATAATTGTACTAATCCAACCGCATATGTCTTTCTCCGACCAAAGGAAAGAAAAAAAGAAATAAGGATTTCCCCTTTGCTTTGACAATGGTCTGCCCGGTCCCCTTCATAAAAAGGGAGAGATTTATTGATATATTTATTGGATCCGTCGGGACTGACGGGGCTCGAACCCACAGCTTCCGCCTTGACAGGGCGGTGCTCTGACCAATTGAACTACAATCCCATGGAAATACGGGATCTAGCAGAAAATTTGATTTTTATCTCCGGATCGGGTATTTCTGAAGTACAAAGGGGGTTATATTATCTCATGGCGGATTGGCGGGTATTGGGCGGAGCGGTTTGAACCAGCGTAGACATATTGCCAACGAATTTACAGTCGTCCCCATTAACCGCTCCGGGCATCGACCCAGGAAGAATCAATTTTAGACTTATTGGTAATCCATGATCAACTTCCTTTCGTAGTACCCTACCCCCAGGGGAATTCGAATCCCGCTGCCTCCTTGAAAGAGAGATGTCCTAAACCACTAGACGATGGGGCCTGCTTGACCAACGGCCATCATACTATGATCATAGTATGATCAGTTTTGAAATTGTCAATATAATCCGAATGATTCTATCCGAGGGATCTTTCCCCCTTTCAGACTTGCATAGAATTATTTTTTATTCGTCATTGATGAATTATTCATTAGAATCACCATTAGAAATCTAGTAGTAGTATTTTTTTTTGAATTATTTCAATTGAATTTATTTCGATTATTTTAGTTTAAGGTTTTAATATTTTATAAAAAAATTAAAAAAATTAAAAATATTTTTATTTAGAAATTTGTAAATAAAAAAAGTAATAAATACAAAAAATCGAAATAATAAGGAAGAGTAGGATTTTTTCAGGGAATGATTGGTCCGTCAGAAAGGAAAAAGGTGTGAAATTCGATTTCTTTCACTTTTATTTGATTCATTGTTAAGACCGGATATCTTATCTCTCCACCAAGACAGGAAATTAACAAACAGAAATCTAGTAAGCGGGATTAAGCAGCAAATTCTTTTTTTCTCAGGAATTTAGTTCAGTAGACAAATAGAATCTCTTCATTCTATGATTCGATGGAAATATCTTTAATTTTATGTTGAATTGATAGGTGTATGTACATGTATCAATCAAGTGAATTTTTGTTCTGGTGGGATCAATTCACTAAAATAAAAAAGCACTTCGAGTCGGTCTTGAAACAATTCGGTCTTGAAACAATTCATTGCATTTTCTCCTAGACTTACTAGGTAAATCCATTTTATTATTCAACAATGAGTCACTAGACACTATGTATCTACTGCACATACTTATGCAAATATACTTATGTTTATAATATATGTACATATAGATATTTTATCCACATAGTGAATAATTTTGGAATTAAATAAAAAAGACCCTTTTAACTCAATGGTAGAGTAACGCCATGGTAAGGCGTAAGTCATCGGTTCAAATCCGATAAGGGGCTTTGTAAAACTCCAATCTAGTATTCATATTTGTATTCATATTTGAGGGAAGAATTGTATTTTTATTTATAATAAAAAAGTAACTAACTGGATAATATATTATCATTATACTTAGTTAGAAAGTTGAACATTTGTGTAGTCAATTTTCATTATTATGAATTTATGAATAATGAAAAGTCACTTCTTGAATCACCGAATATTCCTATTTTCCATTATACCAACTAAATCCATTCGAAAGGTTAGAAATCAACAAAAGAAAAAGTAAGTAGACCAGACCTATTGAATCATGACTATATCCGCTATTCTGATATTAAAATTCGATAGAGATGAAATTGGGGTGGTTGATTTTTTTTTAATTTCATTTTTTTGTTTTGGACTCCACAAGAATTTGTCGATATTTCTGATTAAATCTTCTTGTTACTAGATTTTCTATAGGAAAAATTATAGGAACAAATTATTATTCCTTTCCTCTACAGAGAAACCTTTCTTCCAAGTCACACCATAAGTGTCATTTATTATTTTTCTTTGATTCGAGATCAAAGATTAATTTCATCTATATTATATATTAATTTCTATCTATATTATATTAAGTAGATTGTAGATTTCGATGTATATCTAT